AGGTGGAGGGTCTGGGCTAAGATTCTGGGTCTGAGTGACCTGTGAAGCCCCTTTGATATTTGAAATCCACGGGCTTGAGTGGAGGACCTGGGCCTGTGACCCAGGTGAGTCACGGTGGCTGACATGGAGGAAGCAGGGCACTGGGGGGACCCCACTAGATCCCTGGGAGGCCTTCACTGGGGGAGAACATGGTCACAGAGAAGACAAGGTTTTCAAACATCACAGCCCTGTGGCTGGAATGGTGGCGTCATAGGGGCTTCTGGGATCTACATCCCCTTCTCCTAGGGACAGCAGACTAGAACAGGGACTGGAAGGTGCCCTGGGGAACAGCACCAGCCACCTGGGAACTGCACCCTGGGCAGGGCCTGCACTTCCTAGGGGAGACTGTCCCCATGAGCCCCAGAACCAGGAGCCGGGATTCTTCCGCCCTCCCTCCCCCAACCACAGAAACTCATGGTCAAGTCAGGCAAGAAGAGCAAACTGTTTATTTACACCGGGGTCTGCTGTACATTACAGTTCCCTGGAAGGAACCTGCCGCTGAGAGCCTGCAGGTGAGGAGCTCCGGACCCTGGGACGCAGCCTCGGGGCCTCGCCCCACACGCTCCCCTCCCGGGGGCCCACAAGTGCAGGTCCCACCCCAGCCCTAAAGCTAAGCCTATTTCCAAACACAGGCTCCTGGGGCAAAAAACTTAAGTTGAATCCCATGGAGAGTCAGAAGCCATCTAACAAGCCCTCGTGGGGGGCATGAGGATACACATGTGGCTTATTCCATCTGGGCCCCAGGAGTCCAGTCAAGAAAGCCGGAAGCCAAAGGCTGCGAGCAAGTCCTCAGTGACTAGTAGTTCTCAGTGACTAGTAGTCCTTCGATCCCTGACCTTGGGCAGGTGTTAATGGCACTCTGGTCTGAGCACCTTGGCAGAGGAGGAGGGGCTGGGCAGGTGTTAACAGCAGGCAGGGACAGTAGCAAGAGCCTCTTCCTTCTGCCCCCGGGGCTCTGCAGCTGTTCCAGACACCAGATGAGGTGGCCCTAAACTCGGGCCCACTGCCAAGTGCTGGGAACCACACAGCCAGGGCTCCCTCCGGGGGCAGGGGCGGGTGCACGTAGCCACTGCAGTCCCATGACATCCCTGTCGGGGCCAACGCCCGGGTCAAAGAGCTGCGTGAGCTCTGCCAGCATCAACACCAACGCAGGAAGAGCTTTGTGGGAGAAGCGGCTTCACACGGGTCACCCTTTTCTGGGATGCAAGGCTTCTAAACCAGCTGCAGGCCGGATGAGGGACTAAGTGGGTCCCAGCCCCCACGCTTAAGACAATAACGAAAGGTTCTGTACAAAGTTACCAAGTCTACAAACAAGGCTGAGTGAGCCGAGGGGAATGGGGGCCTGATCCTTGTGGACAAACCCGCCCGGAGAGCTGGTCTGCCAGCTGGTCTGCCAGCGCGGCCTCACGTGGTGGAGGCACGTGGATACAATGCACACATTTACAGGGCTCGGGAAAGGTATGGGCAGGCGAGAAGATGTAGAAAAGGGGGCAGTGCAGGGCGTGGGAAATCCTGTACAGTGGTGACAGGGAAGAAAAGGCACACGGACAAAGACCCCAAACCATGCAGACAAACACAGCCTGTGCAGCGGAGCAAAGCAGACGGGTCCCAGCAGGAGGCAGGTCACCCGGGGGGGGGGACAACAGCACTTAGATCCTGCAGGAGAGGTGGCCTGGATGCCCTCCTGGCTGGTGGCTCTGGGGCAGACACCTCTATGTTACAGTCACAATGGACAGGGGAGGAGCCTATAAGGTCAGAGCATCAAGGTCATGTGGGAAACCTTGTGCCTGGCGAGATGGTGGCGTTAGGTTTCGCCGGGGCCTATGCTTTTAGAAACACACCTTTCTAGAAAGTGGCCTATTTTCTCCAGTGGGCAGCAGACAGTATGGCAGAAGGGCCTCAGAGTTGTCCTGCCACGCAGGTAGGGCGGACCTGTGGTTCTGGCCTTCTGCTTCCCGCTGCTGCCCTGTTCACGTGTGCGCTCAGAGCAGGATGTCCTGGGACCAGTGCTCAAAGTCATGCGCTGAGGGCATGGTCCCTCCAACTTGAGGCCCCTTAGTGAGGCAGGCCTCAGTCTTACCAGCCTGAAGCGTCACCCCAGAGGGGATGCCCTGGGTCCCAAAGGGAGGATCAGGGTCTGGGAGGAAAGTCTGTGGAGGAGACAAGCACTGAAGTCCTAAATGGCCCCTCTCCTCAATTCAGAATCCACCTTGGCCCTCAAGAAGAGTCATCGTGGATCTGCCAGGTGACCAAAGTCATTTCCTTGGCACAGTGACTATGCAAAACTTTCCCGTTAAAATCACATCTAGAGTGAATTTTTAGGTTTAAATGTGCTAAATGCATTAAACATACATATACACAAAGCACAAAGAGCTGAATTTCTCCCTGCTTCACCAGGCCCACGGGCCTGTAGGCTAAGTCCCTCCCTGGGACAAAGAGCCCACAGTTGTGCCCTCCTGGACCCCAAGACCTGGCTGGGCCAGGAATCAGAGACTTGCCGGCAGCCTAGTGCCTGGAGCCTCCCAGGTGTGAGCTGGGAGGCTGGTTTGGCTACTGGGGCTTCCTCATCTACTCAGTCAGAAAACAGATCAGAGGCAAAACCCACAGAGCCGGTGTCCCCTCCTGCTCAGCTGTGCAAGTAGGTGGCTGCTGTTTCTGAGGCTGATTTCAGCGGGACTGCCCCACTTGTCAGTTCCCAGCTGACTCTGTTCTACCCCCACCTTGGAATGGGCGTGTGGCCAATATAACCCAACAAGCGCCACCCACTGCCTCCAGGGGCACCAGGCAGAGGTCTCGCCCGCCCACGCAGGCTAGTGACAACAGCTGGATGGGCCAGCTCCTGAAGGCATCTGGCCTCCCATGCTGGGGGTGGGGACCATTCGGTAACATCGTAACATGAGAAGCCACCCTCCCAGCAGAACTTGCTGTTATCCTGCGCCTGACTTAACAAGCCCAACAGCCATTTCTACTTGCTTTTTCTACCTCTGGCCAACGGCCTAGCACAGGAGGTCTCAACCTTGGGCCGTACATTAGCATCACCTGGAGAGGACTTCCGACATCCGGATGCCTGGATCACACCCTCCCCAGGTGATTGAATGCACAACCAAAGCTGAAAACCACTGTTTTAGGACCTAGTGCCTTGGGAAGTTCTTGAGCTTTGTGTTTTTAATAGGTCAGAAATAAAGTCATGAAAAAGGAATTGCCCTGTGATAATTCTCAAATAAATAATCCAATTAAAAATAAAATAACCTAGGTCTAACTCTGGCCAATTCAAAGTTAAAAAGAAAAAGAAAACATCTTATTTTTACCAGAACTTTCTTATACCTTCCCACGGAATAGGGACTAGCTGGACCGGAAGGCGCTTCGTTTTCTATTAGATACTGTATATAAAGCTCACTTGCTGGTTCAGCTAATTTTGTTTGGCTTCCAACTGAATGCAAGGACAGCTTGGTGTCAAGTAAAATTTGAGTCTCCTACAGAAACCCTTGCCCCACCTAAAAAAACACTTCTAGACCTCAGACTAGTTACTGCTAATCCCTACTTGGTAGGGTTGCTGGGTTTAGCAAATGCAAACAACAAAAACAATGAACAAAACGCTCCCCCCACAGGATACCCAGTTAAATTAGAATCACCTGGGAGCTCCTAAATTCCATGCCTGGGCCACACCCACACTGATTAAACCAGAATGTCTGAGGATTCAGTCCCAGTCATTGGAATTTTTAAGAATCTCCCCATTTGAAATATGTCCCAAATATTAGGTGGAACATATTTAACTCTAAGAATGATTTGTTGTTTATCTGAAATCCACATTTAACTGGGCACCTATGTCCTATCTCGCAGCCCCACGACTGAGACAAGAGCAGGAACATGGGAATAGGGCAGGCTCTGTTCCACCACCCAAGGCTCAGGGGCTCTGTGGCTGGGACCCCTGGGGCATCTGCCCCCCTCAGGCAAGCTTTCAAGCGCAGAAGAGCATTTTTTAAAATACACATGATCTTAAAAAGCCAAGCTGGCAGGCGAGGTTTTACAAGAAATGTACTCTGGCTGAAGAAAGAAGGCTGGAGTGAGCTTGAGGGTGTGCTACCTGGAATTCAGTCCCTTATTTAAAAGCCAGCCCTCCTCCAGAGGCCTCAGTGGCACCTCGCCAGGTCCTCAGGGGCCTTTCAGACCCGGCGATTCCTCAGGAGTCCGTTCCCGTGGCGCCCCCTAGAGGGAGGAGCCAGCAGGACGCCTCAAACTGACAGCCTTTCCCGCCCCCTTTCCAGCCCCAGCGATTCCTCCCCACGTTGTGACTATGGGACTCGGGCCTCTGCAGCCCTCACTAGAATTCCACGCCAATGCAGCCTGAGAGCAGATTCCATTTTACATATAAAATACTCACCCCGGGCGCTGAGCCCCCACAGACCAGGACCCTGACTTGACTGGCCTCTCTGTAGGACCCCCCAATATAAAACCCAGACCAAACCTACATCACAATTTGTCTTCTTCAAGCTGTGGCCCTTCCTTCCTATTAGCAAATTCTCAAGAGACCCATTCCTCACGCCTTCTTTCACTGCCCGCTTCTTCTCAGACCCTAGGGGGAGCCAAGGAGACCATTGTCCTAAGGGGTTGGGGGACTCCCTGAAGACCCACCCCCTTGAGCACTTTCCTGGTGTGGGTGGCTCCAGAGTCCTGGGTTAGACCAGTGCAACCCCATCACTTGCAGCACGAAACAAATCCCATAGGTATGATTAAAAAGAAGTCACAAAATCCAACAAAAGCACAAGTTGCCTGAAATGGGATGAATATTGGTTCTGGCCACAGCCCTGCCTTTGCCAAGCAGGGGACACACCCAAGTCCCCTCCTCACCTCACTGCCCTCTGTCCTCTGCCTACTCCCCTCTGTGCTCCTGCCCGACATGCCCAACCTTCGTCTTAACACTAGATGTGCTCAAGAAAACAAGAAACTGCAGGGGGAAAATAAGATCATACGTGTTTACGTATGTTTGGGTTAAGGAAATGAATCACAAGCCATATGAAATTGAGATAGACTGGAAAACTCTAAGGAAAGTACCATATCTACTCCCAGCCGTCTAGAACAAAAGATCCCATTAAAAACCACAGTGTGTATTCACCATGCGTCAGAAGGATGGAAGACTAAGGTTTCCCTGCAACTTTCCCAGCCGGCCCCCAGCCTGCACGGCACTGGCTCCCCTGGCTGAGAACCAAACACAGGTGTGTTTCTAGGGGCTGTGACGATCGGGCCTTGCTGCTGCCTGAGAGGAGCCCAGGGAATGGATCTGAGATCCAAACCCAAGGCCCGCACCAGGGTGCATGGAGAACCGAGACGGTGGGCCAGGCGAGACGGCCCATCCGTGCCTCTGTCTGAAGATGCAGCTGTGGGGAAGGAGCTGACCGGAATGGGAGCTGGGCTCCTCCTCACAAAATCTCTTTGGTTGCCCAATGTCAGCACCTGCTTTAGACACGCCTGTCCCACAGCCCTCTTTTTCTCCTTCCTTTGTATCACTTCGTGTTACACCCGAGTGAAGGCTGCTTATTTTTCACTGTCTTCAAAACAAAACAGAAACAGAAAGGGGGGGTGGGTAAGCGGGGATGGGGGAGTGCATGGAGAGCTCTCCAGAACGAGGATGCCCCGTGCTAGCTCCTCTGCAAACCTGAGTCCCTTGGACACTGTGCACACGAGTCGCAGAGGGCTGCTGACCGGGGCAGGGCAGCTCAGGGAGGGCCACTCCTCACCGCGACCCCAGATGCCCCCTTTCCTCCTCTCTGAGCTTGAACACCTGGGCCAGTAAGGTGGCTGAAGAGTTGGTGAGGACACAACTGTGGGGCATTCCAACTCCTGGAAAAGATCACAATTTTGCTGCCACTCCCAGGGGGATTAGGGCTGGGGTGAAAGAGCCCGGCTCACTAGAGTGTATTTTAATCCTTATCCCCAGAGGTAGAATCATTTTATCCAGTACCTGAAACACAAGCTTCCAGTTCTTGTTATTACAGTAACTCCTGATAGCAGACCTTGCCCCCTCCCGCTTCCAGAACCCTCTGACCCTTGCAAAGGGGCCACAAAGTGCATGGACAGCTACTGTGCAGACGTCACCCAAAGCCACAGCCCCACGCTCACCCCTGGCTCGTGCACAAGGCCTCCCCACAAATACACCAGGACACGCAACGCATGGTGGCCAGAGATACATTTACAGTGTGAGTGTGAGGCCCGGCCTGGGCCTGCATCCTCGGGCAGGGTCTGCCCCTTGGTCCCAGGGTCCTGAGGCTGCTCTGCAGCCAGCGCCCATGTCTCAGTGTTTGATCTCGAGGATGGAGGGGTTGTGGTCCAGGATGGCGAGGATAATCTTGTCCATGTACTGCCTCAGCCGGAAGTTGATCTCCTCCTGCTCCTTCAGGGCTTCCATTAGCTGAAGGGAATGAGAAAGCCCAGTCAGAAGCCAGGGCTGGGGTGCAGGCACAGCCCAGACTCCCCAGCTTGCAGCTGGCCAGGGCCTGATGACACAGGGCCTCAGGAGACCCTGGGCAAGGCAGGCCCCAGACCGACCTCAGTGCTTAGGTGCCATGATGAGAGTCCAGGGCAGTGGCTCAGCTCCATGTGGGGAGTGTTAGCTATGCAGATGCCCAGGCCCTTTCCCTGAGATTCCAATGGAATTGGTTTGTGGAGGGCCCCAGTGTATCTGGAGGCCTGATCTTCGTAATCACACCCCAGCAGGGCAGAAAGAGCAGCCTTTGGCCCTGGAGAGAGCCGGGTCCCTCTCCGTCCCCAGGTGGGTGAGTCTGTGTTCCAGCTTCCCAATCTGGAATGTGCAAGTATTTTCACAAAGCCTCAGAGTTGTCAGAAGATTAAGTGAAAACATCCTGCAGAAGTAGGTGCTCATGAGGCCGGGCGCGGTGGCTCACGCCTGTAATCCTAGCACTCTGGGAGGGCGAGGCGGGATGATCGTTTGAACTCAGGAGTTTGAGACTAGCCTGAGCAAGAGCGAGATCCCATCTCTACTAAAAATAGAAAGAAATTAGCTGGACAACTAAAAATATATAGAAAAAATTAGCCGGGCATGGTGGCGCATGCCTGTAGTCCCAGCTACTCGGGAGGCTGAGGCAGAAAGATCGCTTGAGCCCAGAAGTTTGAGGTTGCTGTGAGCTATGATGATGCCGTGGCACTCTAGTCTGGGCAACAGAGCGAGACTCTGTCTCAAAAAAAAAAAAAAAAAAAAAGTAGGTGCTCATGAAATGCTAATTTCCTTCCCATCTTGGTTTGGGGGCAGGGAGCTATAGCCTATCCTGGGTTCACATGTTGATGGAATCAACTAGCCAATCGGCAGCACTTTTCTGACAGACCTAAGACTCACACTCCACCCTGCTGCTAAACCGTGCACCTTCCAGCACATGCAGAACTCAGATCTGACTTTACTTCTCCTGCAGCCACTGCCCTATACAGCCTTGGCCTCTGTCACTTGGGGTGTCTGCAGATGGGACCCTCAGGCCAGTCCCTGGTCACCATGGCAAGTGGGGGACAGGGGCCCAGGCCCCAGAGCAAGCACGATTGGACGTGATTACCTCGTCGCGTGAGGCTGTGTCTATTTCTGCAGCCAGGGACTGGGCTTTGGTCTGGGTGGCAAAGAGGTTCTTTGCTTCATAGAGGCTGAGGCTCAGGATCTGTCCATTCAAGTCATCGTTCTGATCCCGCAGCTTATGATTCTCCTACAGAGAGTGGGGTGACATGACATCAACTCCCAGAAGCATCCAGAACCCACTGGAACCCACTTTTCTGCATCTACTGTCTCCCGACTGCCACCAGCACCAAGCGCTCAGGTGTGCGTCACAGCTAGTGCAGGAGGCCACTGATGCTGCAGCCTTCCCCAGGTGTCGGAGGGTAGGAGGGCTGGGTCCTGGTCCGGGGGGACCTGGCGTCCTGGGAGTTCACGGAATTCTGAGGAGGAGGAGTTACAGCCCCACTCAGGGCAGCCAGGTCTCCATGGTTCCTGGCCATGTCCTCCTTCCTGGGGCCCTGTGTGGGGACACCGCCCACCTGGCAGCTCAGTCTCCTACATTGGCCCTCCCTGAAGGAAAGCGATGCTCTGGGGTCTCTGAGCAGGCAGGTCAGCTCCTCTCCCCGGCTCCTCCCGCAGCCGGGCTCTGCCATCCTGCCCGGCGGGAGCTGTCTCCAGGGCCCTTCTCACTCTGGAGTGCAGCTGACCCCACAGCGCTCTGCCCAGATCCCGTGCCCAGCCCCACGTTCCAGCTTTTGCCTGAAGGCCCCTAATGCTCACATCTGGGACGCTGGGAGCCCCTTCCAAACAGGGAGGTGGCTGGGGTTTTAGGATTGCTGTGGGAGCACAGCCACCAGCACCTGTGTCTCCAGTGAAGCAAACTCAGAGGTGCAACTTACGCTGCAGAGTCTTCTGCCTGCAGGGTCAGCTGACACTTCACCCAATACCACTTCCTCCCTGCCTGGCCACTGCCCCTTCCTGACCCCGCTCCCCCACCCCACCCCCGACTGGGCTCCAACTAAGGGAGTGCGCCTGGGAACTGCCTGAAATGAAATCTTACTCCTGGGAGAACCCAGCACTGCCAGGCACTCGTGCAGCTGGGCAGTCTCGTTCTCCACCCCGAGCACCAGGGACAGGAGACTAGTGTCTATTTCTTTCTATGGACACCAGGGACAGATCCTGGGATTTCCACCAGACAGAGCCTACAGGCAAGTGGCTTTACCTGAGCTGTGAAATGGGACAGCCCTGACGTTCTGGTTGTCAAGGAGCAGCTAGGGACGTGGGTGCCACAGCGCTGGGCTCCCCTGCCATGGTCCCTGCACAGGAAACCCACACGGGTGGCCTGGCCACCTCGCCCCGCTGGACACAGGCGCCCACCTGCTTGAGCCGCTTGACCTCGTGCTCCAGCTCCACCTCACGGGCCCTGGCGTTGAACTCGCCCAGGCCAGACGCGCTGCGGCCCCTGCCCGGCCGCTCGCAGTCCAGCTTGTACATCTGCAGGTGCTCCAGCTCCTTCCGCAGGTCCTCGATGAGCTGTGAGGGAGAGGGGCCGGTTGGCGGGAGCAGGGACGCTGGAGGGATCCCCAGTGCCCTCTGGCCTGGGACCCACCTCCTGTGTCGCCTCCCGCTCCTTCTGGAACTCGAGGCGGTTCTGCCGCAGCTTGTCCATCATGCGCTTGTACAGGTCCATCTCGTCCTTGAGCCGCAGGCTGGTGTCCTCCAGCCGGTCGGACATGCGCTGCCGCTCCTGGAGCCGGGGAGATGCAGTCAGGGGAGGAGAGTTCCCAGTGAAGCCTCATTATGTGCCTGGAACTTCCCTGGGGATTTGATTGGCCACCTCCACATGGCAAATGGACAGGCAGACCAGCTCCCTTGGACAGAACCCTCCACATCGTGGCTTAAAGAAATGGCCAGGCTGGGCACAGCAGTGACTCATGTCTACAATCTCAGCACTTTGGGAGGCTGAGGTGGGAGGACTGCTTGAGGCCAGGAGTTGGAGACCAGCCTGGGCAACATAGTGAGACCCCATCTCTACAAAATACAAAAAATATTAGCCAAGTGTGGTGACATATGCCTGTAGTCCCAGCTACTCAGGAGGCTGAGACAGGAGGATCCCTTGGGCCCAGGAGTTCGAGTCTGCAGTGACCTATGATTGCGCCACTGCACTCTGGCCTGAGTGACATAGCAAGACCCTGTCTCTACATAAAATAGAAAAGTTAGCTGGGTACGATGGGACCTGCATGTCGGGAGTCCCAGCTACTCAGGAGGCTGAGACAGGAGGATCCCTTGGGCCCAGGAGTTCGAGTCTGCAGTGACCTATGATTGCGCCACTGCACTCTGGCCTGAGTGACGTAGCAAGACCCTGTCTCTAAAAAAAAATTTTTTTTTATATTAAAAAAAAAGAAAAAAGAAATGACTAGGACTCCTATGAATCTAGAAACACAGCAAAACAAAAACAAAAACAAAAACAAAAAACTCAGGCTCTGAAGTCCTTCAACAATGCTAGATAGAGTCTGAATAGAGGTGTTATCCTGAATAGAAGTTAACCCTCTTTCCTTCTAAGAGTATAATTTTCCCCCGTTGTAGAAGGAAATATATACACTATATAAAACTTGGAAAATCAAAAATATAGAAACACAAACTGTTATTCACCTTTTTTTTTTGGCAGGGCAATTTTTTAGAATCTCAGAACTATTTAATACAAACTAAACCCCCACCCCTCAACGGCCAACATCGCCTCTCTGTGCATTTGGCTCCAAGCCTGGACCTGCTGCTCACCTCGTCCAGTTTCTCTGTTTGAGACTTGAGCCGAGTCACTGTCGTCCTAAGTTCTGTATTTTCTTCCTCCAATTGCTGCACCCTGGGGAAAGCAGGAGAACAGAAATCTCAGAAATCTGGAATGGAGATTATCTCACAAAGGGTTGACAACCTGCAGAGATTCTCTGCTTCCTGGAAGAGGGAAGATACCAGAAACCAACTGAGAGTAAGAGAGAGAATATGAATAGTTTTCCCAAATGATAAGATAGCCTTGAGCTGCCTGTCAGCCATGGCAAAATAGTAAAGACATTGAATTATCATTCTTATTTTTTTTTTTTAATGTTTTGAGACAGAGTCTCACTCTGTTGCCCTGGCTAGAATCAGTGCCATGGCGTTAGCCTAGCTCACAGCAACCTCAAACTCTTGAGCTCAAGCGATCCTCCTGCCTCAGCCTCCCGAGTAGCTGGGACTACAAGCATGCGCCACCATGCCCGGCTAATTTTTTCTATATATATTTTTAGTTGTCCAGATAATTTCTTTCTATTTTTTTTAGTAGAGACGGGGTCTTGCTCTTGCTCAGGCTGGTCTCGAACTCCTGAGCTCAAACAATCCGCCCGCCTCGGCCTCCCAGAGTGCTAGGATTACAGGCGTGAGCCACCGCGCCCGGCCCATTCTTATTTTTTTGATAAAAGGAAACATTTAACTGTGAATAAGAATGTAAGATTCTTTCTGCACACATTCTTAGAATCCTGAAACAACCCTACAGGGGGATGTTTTCCTGCTAGATGGAGAAATGATCTTCCTGTGACTGGGGCCCTCCTGTTAGAATCCACAATCTGAAGGCTATGACCGTATTTCCTTTTCGTTCTCCACCACCGGCACCCAGAGCTCTTCTCTCTGAGCGCTCACTGCAGCTGCCTCTGACGTCCACAGGCATTGGTTCCAACAGTAACGATCCTCTGATGTTAGCACCCACAAAGGGCCGTCCTAAAGGGATTCTATGAGAAGACGGAGCCCAGGTGCTCGGTGCAGAGACGGGGGTCCCGGGGCCTGAGGAGTGCGGGGCAGCTGTCCTTCCTGCCGAGGGCCCGGGCAGCCTCAGTCAGCAGCGAAGGCAGCACAGGGCACTGTCACAGCCCTCGCCCGTGTGCATTGTCCTGATGTGTGTCAGCTCAACCACCCTCACCTTCTCCGTGTGCCAGACGGGGAGAGGACGACAGATGGTGACACAGTGTGTCTGTGGTCATGGAGTTAATGGTGATCGATCCGGGTTCCTGGGCTAAGGCTGCTCCCCGCCCTCCTGCCAGAGATTCTGATGGCAAAGTGACAGGTATCCCGAGGCACAGGGGCCCATGCCAACCATAGGCCCTGGGGCCCAGGCTCAAGGAGAACCGACAGCAGGGGGAGCTCTAAGCCTGGACATCAGATCCAGCCCAGGAATAGGGCCAAGGCCATTTTTGTTACTGATTCTCTTGTGGGTAAACATTTGTGTGGTTTCCTTTACCTAATATGAACAATGCTCCTATGAACATGCTTTTATATACTTCCTAAATAATATCCCCATGAGAGTTTTAAGGTATAAAAAGTAGAACTGTTAGAACATGAGGCTTTCCCTCAGCCTCAGTTTTCCCGTCTTTAAAATGGGACTGGCTCCTGCCCCATGGGGCTGTCCCAGGAGTGTGAGGGTGTCTCCGAGGGCACGAGGCTCAGGAGAAAGGCAGTCCCAATGGGGTCAGTGGGGGCCCACCTGGCGTTGAGCAGCTCCACCTCGGTGGTCTTCTCCCTCTCTAGCTTGCTGTAGGCCTCACGGTGCCGCCGCGCCTCCTCCTCCAGCGTCTGCTCGGCTGTGGTCTCCTGATCCTTCACCATCTCCTCCAGCTCGTGCACCCTGGGGACCACGCAAGCTTGCCACCAGGCAAGCTCTCGTGGCCTGTGTCGTCCCACCCCAACCCAGACTGTGGCACAGAGAGCCCCGGGCCATCCCGAGTCACTAGTATGCCCACTAAGGGAGCTGGCGGTCAGTTTGACTGGCCTGTCCCTGCATAGGGACACCACGACATCTAAAGAGAAGTGTGTCGGTCATACATGCCATGGAGCGGCAGACCTGGCAGTCAGTCCAGAGGGGAGCGACGCTGCACCCGAGAAGGCGGGACGCTCAGAGCAGCACAGGGAGGGACAGCCACAGCTGGACAAAGCAGCCTTGGGTCTCACCTCCTCTTTTTGCTCTATTCCCTCCTGGCCAGCACCCCCCCGATTGACAAGTCAGCTTACTGGGCACCTTGCCTCCAAAATAGGCACATCCTGGGTAGTGGCCCAAGCCTGCCCCAGACCTGGGAAGGGCCAGGCCCCACTGTGGACGTCAGAACCCCATGACTGGCGGCCTAGTGGGTACACTGGTCTAGGGTGCATCTCACTAGCAACAGTCCCTCCAAGAGCTAACCTTTTGGGGTGTACTATAGGGCCCATCTTTTGGATCTACAAGGCAGAGGACCAGATCCAAGGCCAGGATAAGTCCACCAAGTTTCACGCTATCTGGTGAGGACATCTAAGCTCTGCACTCACTACTGCACCGACAGGCTCACACTGCCCTGTCCCTCTGCAAGCTTGTCCCCAGGGAAGTCAGGCCCTTGTCACTGCACGACAGCAAGACAGTGGATCCCAACTCCTGTCTTAGACCCACCCTGGGGCTGCAGACCTGGGGGGTGGAATCCATCAGGCCAAGAGTCAAGGTCAAGCTCCAACCTGTCTCCCTGTCCCTAAAGGCCTGTCCTCCCGGGTACCCTGCATGGGCAGGACGTGATGAGGGGCTGATGCATCCCAGACCCTCAGAGCTGGAAAGACACAAGGTTACCTCCTCTGCTTCTCTTAGCAGGAGGGACAGCCCTTTCTTCCCCGGAGTCCCAGCCAAGACCCCAAAGTCAAGGCCCCAAAGCCAAGGCCCTGGCCTGACCTGTGCACCAGCTGCGTGTTCTCCTGCTTCAGCTTGCTCTTTAGGTCCCCGTTGGTCAGGCTGTCATTCTCCAGCTCTGTCACCTTTTTTTCCAGGAAGCTCACCTGTGGGAGGGCAGGGGTGGGTACAGAAGACCTCTAAGGCCACAGGACTGAGAACCTGAAAGCTGTGAGGTTCATGACCAGGACCTCCAAATGGCCATGTATGAAGAGAATGGTCACGTTTGGTGGGAAGAGGGGGTGCCCACGGGACTGGGGCCACCTGCCCAAGTCCCCAGACAGCAGCTGAGTGCTCCCACCACCCCTGGAGGTATGCACATATTATGTCCCTTCCCCAGCCCCCACCTTCTCTGTGATGTCATTGTCACAGGAGTCAATGCTGTCCCGGAACAGGTCTTCTGTGCTGCCGTTACTGCTGCTGAAGTTGCTGTTGTGCATGAGCTGCCTGCAGGGAGGGAGGGAGGGGGCACCTGGCTGTAGAGGCCTCCAGAGACGGGGCTCCGACTCAGGCACGGGCTGGGTGGGCACCCGATACCCCAGGGCCCTGCCAGGAATCCCTTTACGGAGGCTGCCCTCACTCAGCCAAGGAGGAGAGCGTTGCCTGACCCCTGAACCCAACGATTGTTCAGCTCAGAGGATAGCAGGTGGGCTGCTACAGCCCTCCCTGATCCCCTGGCAGACACGACTGATCAGTCGCAGCTCTTTCCTGCTGCCTCAGAGCCCTCTTCATGCCAGTTTCCTGCTGGCAGCTGCCCGGCGACCTGAACTGGTACAGGAGCCCCCTCCTCTTCCAGCTGGAAAGTCCCAGGGAGGTGGCCTGGTCCCATGGTCCCCACCAAGCCAGCTCCTGCCACCACTCTAGGAGCTCTGGAGGAAGGTGAAGGGCGGGAGGTTCACCAGCCCTTGCAGGGCAGAGTTGGTGGGTGGGACGGGGCGAGGCAGGTGCTTGCTGAGGTGCCCTGGCCCGAGGGAAACCCAGCTGCCACCCCCCAGTGACACTGCCTTCCCAAAGCCCTGGGCCAGTCTGCGGGAGAACCAGAGCGGGAGCCCGGCTGTCCCAGGAAGTTAGCAGGACTTAACGGGAGCAGAGTGACCCGCTCTGGTGGGGCACACGCATGCCCAGACCTCTGCCAGCAGGAAACCCAGGGTCTCTTTGGGACAGCTCCAGCTCTGAGTGGAAGGAGAGGCACTGACAGCCATGGGTGGGCTGTCTCTCAGGGTCCCTGGTGGGCCTGCCTGAAGACGAGGCAGCCAAGCATTTGAAAATGCTGCCAGGAAGGGGCAAGGGATGGAGGGGCAGGGTGGAGAGTGGCTCCTCTCTTCCAGAAACGGACACTTTGCCCACTCAGCCACACGCAGGGCACCGGCTGGGTCTGGGCTGCTGGCAGCAAAGGCCGAGTTGAGGGAGCAACACTCAATCCGTCCTCCCCGAAGAGGGCTTACCGTCCGAAGGCCGTGCTAGAGATCTTCCGGTTGGGGCTAGAGAGAGAGGAAACAGTCGATGAACAGAGGGGGCTCTAATCTGCTCCCCTGCTCTGCCCCACCTACTAGGAGACACCAAGGTGCAGGACAGGCTTTTCCCTCCCCATGAAAGGAATGTGCTAATCAGCTTGGTCCTGAAAAGAAACAGCCTGACTTCCTGCTGCAGAAAAAGCCCCAGGATCAACCCTACACAGAGAGAGTGCTCACTGCCAAGGCAGAGCGGGCGCCTTGCCTGCTGCTTCTCCTCCAGGCCCGCCCTGGCCTCTCGCGCCCCTCACCCCGCACAGCACCCCAGGCCTCACCTGTTGGCCTTCAGGTTTTTCAGCCGGGCTTCCAAGTCGTTCAGCAGGTTGATTTTCTTGCAGCACTGAGAGCAGTAAACATCCAGCAATTCGCTGTTGTACGTGTGCCGCATTTTCCTGGGCGTCTGACCCGCACTGATTCGTAAGAGGGAACGACATCACCTTAACTGCTGTCCAGTCTGGTGCCCCACCCTACCCTGCTGACTTGACTTTACTTGACCCCCTAATACCTGCCAACCCTGGGGGGAGGAGGGGCAGGTAGTGAAAATACAGCCACCGATCATCCCTTCTCCAATACTGTCAAAGCGGAGCAGCCAGGGAGTCGTACCCATTTACTGAGAGCTAATGTCAGAGTCAGCGATGCCTCAGGTGGGTGAGAAGGTATCACAGGGGGTCAACTGGAAGGGCCCTTCAACACTGAGGTTCTAAGAGGCGAGACAGCACCAATCTCCTTCCCCCTCCCCAGTCTGCGGCCTCACCAGTTAATTCTGTTTCTTCCCCAGGCTGGAGGAGGGGAGGAGGAACTGCTGACCCCTAATCAGGGTGCAAAGGCAGCACCCTCAATCCCCAGGAGAACCCACGTAGCTCAGGACAGAGGGAGGGACAGTCAGCTCAGGACTCAGCTCGCGTGACCCCCCGGGATGAGGTTGGATTGCTCCTGCCAGTTTTCCCAGACCCTAAATGCCATTCCGGTCCAACGGGCCACCTGGAAGACACCGAGGACCCCAGGTCCGAGTAGACGTTGGTCCTGGTCTCATCATCAGGGCAGGGGCTGCTGGGAGCACAGTCCACGTCGTCCCCCTCCCCGTAGTCCTCAAACTGCTCCTCGTTGCTGATGAGCGAGGCAGTGGAGTGTGTGGACAGGTCTGACGTCGTCATGGAGGGCGTGTGCACCAGGGACCTGAGGGGCGGAGGGCAGCTGTGTCAGGACTCACGGGGCTGCATCCTCAGCCCCTGGTGGGGAAACCGGCCAGGCCTTCCAGAAGGCCACTCTGCACGATGGATTAAATCGGTGCCTCCTGGCCTGATAAGCACACTTTGGGGACCCTAGCTAAGGGGAAACATCTCGCCACACAAACTGTTCCTGCAGAGATACTCAAACCGGTACTACCCTAACTGTAATCTAATTATTTAGCTATGGCTAGATCAAATTATAGTTTCTAAATTATAATATTAATATGTATTAGTAAATTATTAAATTATGGAACATTAAATAGCTAAAGGGTTTGTAAAAATTCGACCATAATGTGGAAAGATGAATATAAATAAAAAGTTAGATTTAAAATGTTAGATACAGTAAGACTGAGTACGGTCGTTCCTTGGTATCCATGGGGACTGGTTCCAGGAGCCCCCCCCCAATGGGTACCAAAATCCACGGATGCTCGAGCCCCTTATGCAAAGCGGCACAGTATTTACATAGAACCTGCGCACAACATCCCACCTGCTTTCAATCATTTCTAGATTGCTTATCATACCTAACACAATGCAAACATTATGTAAACAGTCGTTATCCTATATTGTTTTTTAATGTGTATTATTTTTTATCATAGTATTTTTTATTGTTTTTCCAGTATTAATCTACAGTTGGTTAGATGCACAGACGCAGAACCTGCGGATACGGAGGGCTGACGAAATAGGGAAGGTCTGTATGGAATAAGAAAAAGTAGGAGACACAAATATTAAGGTAGTAAGAGGGCTTGGATTGGGGTGGTAGGTTATTTCCACCCATTCTTACTCTTCCTGCCTTTTCCAAGTTTTGTTTAATTCACATGGATACCCTTCATAATCCAATTAGGTTTCTTAGTAAATAACAATGAGGTGAAAAGTGCCTCTCAGTTTATAGAGGAGATTTCCAGTCCAAGGGTGCCTAATCCCAAAGAACAGAAGCCAGAGATCGACCGGAGGCTCCGGGGCCTCTCCTGGGTGACCTGCAGCGTGGCCTGTGACGTCCCAGAGGCTGCGCCCCATCTACAACCCAAGGACAAACAGAAGTACAACTCATGACCTGCCAAAACATAGCTTCCCCTTTAGTCATTGTACGGTAGTTTCTGTACGTTATTACTCATAAATTAGGATTTCCCCGGCCAGGCGCGGTGGCTCACGCCTGTAACCCTAGCACTCTGGGAGGCCAAGGCAGGAGGATTGTTTGAGGTCAGGACCAACCTGAGCAAGAGTGAGACCC